AAATTTTTTTCCATTGACAAGAATTAATATTTTGTTTTATTAATAATATCTTTGAGTTATAAATTTAAAATTTGTGCATTTATTTTAATAACTTTAAATACAAAATGAGAAAAAAGTTCTGCTTTCATCCCTCAAGATGTAAAAAGAAATCAATTACTGCATCTCTCTTGTGCTAAATTAATGCCATTAATTTTTATTTAAGTAGATAAAAGACCAGAAACTTACTGAGGATTAAAGAAAATAACCTACATAGTACCCTGCCCATAGCAGACATTCAATACAGGTTAAATGGGTGTGAATCTTCAAATGAGAAAAAGCAAAAATAACACATTTTTTTTCCCCCCAGCTGGAACCTGAGTTGTTCAGTGGATTGAAAGTAAAAGAGAATGGCATTGAGAGTTTCAGAAAAACATCTACTTCTGCTTTATTGACCATGCCAAAGCCTTTGACTGTGTGGATCACAACCAGCTGTGGAAAATTCTTCGAAAGATGGGAATATCAGACCACCTTATCTGCCTCCTGGGAAATTGATATTCAGGTCAAGAAGCAACAGAACTGCTTCTGGAAGCAACTTAGAACTGGACATGGAACAATGGGCTGGTTCCAAACAGAAAAAGGAGTATGTCAAGGCTGTATATTGTCACCCTGCTTATTTAACTTGTATGCAGAGCACATCATGCAAAACGCCGGGCTGGATGAAGCACAAGCTGGAATCAAGACTGCCGGGAGAAATATCAAAATCCTCAGATATGCAGATGACACCACCCTTATGGCAGAAAGCGAAGATCTAAAGAGCCTCTTGATGAAGGTAAAAGAGAAGAGTGAAAAAGCTGGCTTAAAACCCTAAGTTCAAAAAGTGAAGATCATGGTATCCGGTCCCATCACTTCATGGCAAATAGATGGGGAAACAATGGAAACAGTGACAGACTTTATTTTCTTGGGCTCCAAAATCACTGCAGATGGTGACTTGCAGCCATGAAATTAAAAGACGCTTGCTCCTTGGAGGAAAAGCTAGAACCAACCTAGCTGCAGCTGCTAAGTCACTTCAGTCGTGGCCAACTCTGTCCGACCCCATAGACAGCAGCCCACCAGGCTCCCCCGTCCCTGGGATTCTCCAGGCAAGGACACTGGAGTGGGTTGCCATTTCCTTCTGCAATGCCTGAAAGTGAAAAGTGAAAGTGAAGTCGCTCAGTCGTGTCGGACTCTTCGCGATCCCATGGACTGCATCCTACCAGGCTCCTCTGTCCATGGGATTTTCCAGGCAAGGGTACTGGAGTGGGTTGCCATTGCCTTCTCCTAGACAGCATATTACAAAGCAGAGACATTATTTTGACACCAAAGATCCCTCTTGTCAAAGCTATGGTTTTTCCAGTGGTCATGTGTGGATGTGAGAGTTGGACCATAAAGAAGGCTGAGCGCTAAAGAATTGATGCTTTTGAACTGTGGTGTTGGAGAAGACTCTTGAGAGTCCCTTGGACTGCAAGGAGATCCAACCAGTCAATCCTAAAGGAAATCAGTCCTGAATATTCATTGGAAGGACTGATGCTGAAGCTGAAGCTACAATAATTTAGCCACCTGATTCGAAGAGCCGACTTATTAGAAAAGACCCTGATGCTGGGAAAGATTGAAGCAGGGAGGAGAAGGGGACGACAGAGGATGAGGTTGTTGGATGGCATCACCGACTCAGTGGACATGAGTTTGAGCAAGCTTCAGGAGATGGTGAAGGACAGGGAAGCCTGGTGTGCTGTCATCCATGGGGTTGCAAAGAGTCGGACACTACTGAGTGACTGAACTCAACTGAACTGATTTTGTAAAACTCTTGGGAACAGACTTAACCACTTTTAACACTAAATTTATTTGCAAGGAGGGAATAAAATTCCTGATGCTTGTTGAAATGACAGGGATATCATAAAAATTAGTAAATATGTTATTAAAGAATATCATATTCTTTATAGAGCAGTGTTATATAAAGACTCAGGTCGGTATCATCAAAAACTGGCTACAAGGGCACTACAAAATGCATTACCTGTCATTTTTGAGACAGAGTATAAAATCCCAACAAGAAAAATAGCCCTGCTCACAAAACTAGAAAATGTAATTTTTCTTCAAAGAGAGGAGAATTAGAAAAACGAAGACTCTTACCTTTGAATTTAAACATCAAATCAATATAAAAAAGAAAAGAATCAGGTTCTGAGACCTGAATGTTTTTGTCCTTTCAGGATTGTAATGAATAAATGGAAAATAAGTTTAATTATATAAAGATACTTAGAAGTGTAATCTTTTGTTTGTTTGTTTTTCTGTTGTTGTCTTTTCAACAGTGGAGCCACCTAAAGAAATCTTTTTCTGTGCTCTCTAATCTGTTCACCTGACTCTCACTGAGACAGCCCCATTGAGGGAAAAGAATGAGCTTCAAATTAGAGAAACTACACTGTGGCTCTGGCTCCACCTCTTAAAACAGAAGTGACCTTGGGCGAGCCCCTTGAGCTCTCTGAGACTCACTCTTTTTCTATTTTTTATAAAATAGAGCTTTGATAACAGCAGTAGCTCCCCCACAGTGCTGTTCTGATAAGTAATTAAGAGTGCATAAATTCTCTTTAGTGACTGCTAAGTTATTTCCAATGTTAATGATTTTTTCATAGCTTTATTTGTTATTATCTGTCTACACAACTTATCCATCTTGTCTTTATCAAGTCTTGATGATTTTACTCTCACTCCGCTCTTCCTCTGTACTCCCACCACTTCTGCGTTGGATTCCACCAGGAACATTCTACTCATGGCCCCACACGTCCCTAAAGCCTAGCCCTCTCCCCCAGCTCCAATGAAATCACTCCAGCAACAGGGCGAAGTTTCTCTGGGGAAAATGTGGTCACACTTTTCCAGTGCTTCTCAGGCAAGAATACTGGAGTGGGTTGTCATTTCCTTCTCCAGGGGGTCTTCCCTATCCAGAGTTCAAACCATCATCTCCTGCATTGGCAGACGGATTCTTCACCACTTGAACCACCTGGGAATCTCTATCCCTGGGGAGTAAAATCTCAATTCCTCCGCACCCAGCCCTGCCTACCTGCTTCACTGTATCTTCTGCTGGTCCTTTCTAGCACTTTGCAGGCTCATAATTCCATAATTGTCTCTCTTTTTCCTGCCTCCATGCGTTTGCACTTGTATTTCTCCTGCCAAACACCTCCTCCTCCTAGTGACTCTAGTACAATTATGTTTCTGCAGAATCTTCTCACCAACTGCTGGCAACATTCTACTTATTCTTCACAGCCTATTTCAAACACTCTCCCTTTCACATGCCTCCTTTACCCCATGTTGAGGTTTTCAGAGTTTTTACTGTACTTCTCTTCCTCTTTCAGAATGTGGATCCCTAAAGAGGGTGGATCACCTCTTTTCATGTTACCCAATGCCTGAACCTGTTAAATAATATTTAACATTTTATTGTTGTTGCTTGAATGACTACTTTCTAGTACACTTAGCTCTGGACTGACTTCACTTTATACATCTTACTAATTACAACAAGCTTACCTCAGGACAGCATTACTCTATCAAATACAACATTGCTGTTTAAGCTATGGTTTTTATAATTAGAAGGAACAGAGGATTACTCAAGCTAACTCAAGCGAATAGGTGGGGTTGGGGTTGTTTTTCAGACTCTGCAAGGCTAGCGTGGGGATCCCAGAGGAAGCCTCAAGAGAGACGTGCAGGACAGTGAGCAGATTCTCAGTCTCTCGTCACGTCTTCACATCATCCTATACATTTTCTGTAGTCCTTTTTAACCCAGCTCCATCTGTTTTCAGTTTCCTGATAACTTGTCTCTGAATTCTGGCTACAATTCAAATCCCCAGCATCCTTTCGTCCTTTGCCCTGACTACTTCCTGTCTTTTCTCAAATTTCAGATCCACAAGAAAGGGCTCTTAATTGAAACAGCTCATCTCCTTGGACCAAGCCACATCCATGCAGTTGTTAAATATTTATGGAACACCTACTATATGCCAGGCACTCTTCTAGGTGCTGGGGTAAAAGCAGTGGAAGAGACAGATAAGAAACATCTGCTGCCACAGAGCTCACTTGCTCTTGGTGACAGACAAGTCCCTGAGCCGGCTGTCCTTAGATCAGATGCCACATTTCAGCACCATCCTCTGTGGCTGGCTGTGGGAGGCAAGGTAATGTACAAAATGTGGCCACCTGGTCACCAAAAATGGAGCATCGCAGAGTCCCTAAAAGGAGGGATGCACAGGCATGAAGACTTTAGTGCGATTTTAATTTGAATCTCCTTTTTCCTACTCATATTCCCTTATTTCCTTTATATCTTAAATATCTCATATGTGGTTTTAATCTTATTCTTTTGATCTGATCTTCTTTGATCCATTTAAGGCCACCATGATATCTGAATGCATTCTTAAATCTCCTAAGTATGTGTAATCTTGAAAGGGTCTAGGGTCTGTAATGTTTTTTAATGCCTGAGTAGTGAAACCTAAGGGAGGATGGATAACTTTCTATCCTTGATTTAATGTGTACCAGCTCACTCTGCAATTACTAGATGTTGTTACTCCCATTTATATCTATAGTTGGGGGGAAAAGAAATGACTTTAGAAGCCCTAAATCCATCTTCCTTTGAGAGTCTCCCTTTCTCTCTGAGATCAATACGTGTATGTGCACAGGTGTGTATGTGTGTACACAAAAGTCTATGTGGCGTTGGGACCTCTTCAGTGGCCCAGTGGTTAAGACTGGGCTTCCAATGCAGGGGCCCAGGTGTGATTTCTGGTTGTAGAAGTTCTGCACGTCTCGGGGTATGGCAAAATAAAAAGTGTGTATGACGTGGTGTTCCTGTTCCCCTTGATAGCGCCGACTCCTCCCGTCTGCTGGCCCTCTCTCTCCCCTGCCTCTTTATCTTGTTCCCCCTCCTCTCCCCACAGCCCCTGAGTCTGTCATCTCTCTCGTTTAAGTGAGACACGGAGCCAAACTCAAAGCTCTATACTGGTGCCGCCGCTTCTTGAGTGGGTATGGAGACGAACACCTCCAGACTGGATTCCCGCGTGGAAGTGGACCTACAACTCAGTCATCCATCAACAGGTGAGACATGAAGACCCGCCAAAGGTCCAGACTGGAGGACTTTTCACAGGAAAGAATAACTGCCACCAAGTTTTGCCTTTTTACTCCAAACTTAGTTAGTGAAATGCATTAGGTAAAATCCATGATGATGATGGACAAGCATTGTTTTTTTAGAAAGAGAGGCCCATGTGTAGCAATGTCAAGGAATTCTAACATCTTTCTACAGGTAAGAAACTTTCTCATTAACATTTAACATAAATAGAACTAAGCACCCTGTTCTTCTGGCTTCCCAGGAGACACTAGTGATAAAAGACTCACCTGCCAATGCAGGAGACCTAAGAGATGCAGGTTTGATACCTGGGTTGGGAACAGAGAGATGCCCAGCAAACAGATGGAGACAGCGCTATCAAGGGGAAGAAAGAATAGTATGTCATATGGACTTTTTTTTTCTGCCAACTCACATTTCCCACATGTCCTGCATTGGCAGGTGGATTCTTTACCACTGAACCACCGGGCTTCCCAGATCTATAAGTTTTGCTTACAACTTACAGAAAGAAAACAATCAGTTAATTTCTCTTACGCGCCCTCATCTTTTGGGCCTCAGTGAGAGAGAGAGAGAGACAACGTTTAGCATAGTTCAGGGGGCGCTAGTGGTAAAGAACCTGAAATGCAGGGGACGTAACTATGGGGTTGCAGAGTCCCCCCACAAGTGAGGTCTAGCCTACACACACACACACCTGAAAGAAAATCTTAGTATGATCCTTTCTCAGTCAACAGGTCATTCTATAACTATTGACTAATATCATCCAATTTCTCCCAGCCTCATAATTGATTTCATACCTTCACCTGCCATGTACATATTATTAACTCATTTCAAATGGCGTTAGTGGAATTCCAAAATCTCTTTTTAACTTGCTTCTTAAAGAAACTCATTCTTAAAGCAATATCAGACACTTCCCTCTCTTGTTCTAAAAACATTTTCAATATGTTAAAATAACTGACTTTTTAAGCAATTCATTTGATTTTTAATTTTTATTTATTGGTGGCTGTGCTGGGTCTCATTGCTGCAGGCAGGCTTTCTCTGGTTGCCTCGAGTGGGAGCTTCTCTCTAGTTGTGTTTCGAGACCTTCTCATTGTGTCTTCTCTTGCGGAGCACGGGCTTTGGGGCGCTTGGGCTGCAGAAGGTGTGGCCTATGGACTTGGTTGCTCTGCAGCATGTGGGATCTTTCCGGATCAAGAACTGAGTTCCTGTCTCCTGCATTGACAGGCAGACACTACCACTGAGCTACCTGGAAAGCCACTCATTTGATTTTTTATTGAGCCCCTGCTAGGGCTGGAAGTGAAAGTGAAAGTTGCTCAGTTGTGTCCGACTCTGTGGCCCCAGGGACCATACAGTCCATGGAATTCTCCAGGCCAGAATACTGGAGTGGGTAGCCTTTCCCTTCTCCAGGGGATCTTCCCAAACCAGAGATTGAACTCAGGTCTCCTGCATTGCAGGCAGATTCTTTACCAGCTGGGCCACAAGGGAACTGATGGGGCTGGTTACTAGGAACACAGCTGAAAAAAACAGACAACAATCCTTGCCCTCATGGAGAGTAAATCCTCCTGAGGATTGAGTGGACAATAAACAAAGTAAGTCACAATTACGTACTATGTTAAAAGGTAAAGTGCTGTGGAAAAAATAAAGGCAGGCTGATAGAGAGTGGGAATATTAAGTGACCAGGTAGATGGAGTTCTTTGAAACTCTTTCATGATTTTTATTCTTTAAAAGCAAAGAAATATCTGTTTATATTTCTCCCTCTCTAAAAAGGTGAAATACTATTTTTAACTTCTGGTGAATTTATACACCACTGATTAAGTATTTTTGTGCGGTTCTATCTTCTGCTAGAAAAAAAAATCCTAAACCAGAGTTCATGATTTGCTAATTGCAGCTACATTAATGGATCACTTTATAGCAACATTCCACTTTCTGAAGTAAACAGCAATCACGGGCATCAGAAGACCTGTCTCTCAGAGTCGGTGATCCCACAAAAAAGAGAGCACGTACTCTAGAATATCTGGACCCGAAAGCAACCTGGTGAAGCCACCTGATTTTAGCTATTTCAGGAAATGTAGAAAAAACTTACATGCATATATGTCAAACAACGGTACTAATTATCTATAAATATTTGGGTATTAGTATGGCATGTAATGGGCTTCTCTGGTGACTCAGCGGTAAAGAATCTGCCTGCAATGTAAGACACATGAGAGATGCAGTTTCGATCCCTGTGTGGGGAAGATCTCCTGGAGAAGGAAATGAAAAACCGCTTCAGTATTCTTGCCTGGAAAGTCCCATGAACAGAGGAACTTGGCAGGCTACAGTCCATAGGGTCACAAAGAGTCGGACATGACTGCATAACTGAGCATATACACAGATAGCAAGTAATTGACATTGCTTTCCCACAAATGAAAATAGGTTTCAATTCTCAGTATTGCTTTGCCTGGATTCTCTTGAGCATCATTCTTACCAACCAAATAGTCACAGGGCCTCAGTTCAGCTTCCAGTCAGCCAAACCAGTGGCTTTTAACCCTGACTGTGACTGGAATCATTTTTTAAAATTCCTAATGCATGGGCCCCTGATTCCAATTAAATCAGAATTTCTGGGGGTGGGGCCCAGACATCAGTATATATATAGATAGATATGTGTATTTACATTGCTATGTATGTGTGTGTGTGTGTGTATATATATATATATATATAAATTCCAATTACTCAAGAGGTTCTAAAGCAGTCTGGGTCACGAAGCTCTGCACTAACCTATCAGCCCCTAGCAGCCTCCTCCCTTAGCTAAATAAATAGCTAAAGACCTTAGAAGACCCGCCGAGGTGCTGAGGAGGGGTCTTCTAAGGTCTTTAGCTATTTATTATCTCCGCAGAGACCCAGCTCTCACCTCACTCGCTCTTCCTTTCAACTACTTTCCTTCCTTTCCTTTCCTTCTTGTCCCCTTCATTTCTGCTTCAGCCTCAGGCCAGCCAACAGTACCTGGTAAGGTTGTTTGGGCCTACTGATGGCCAGCACTGAGCTAGGTTTTCAGCTCTCTGATGCAAAACACACTGATCTGATTACCTGCAGATTGTCCACTCATCACTTCTGCAGCTGCTTCTGTGGTTCCGTCTCCACCCCCGCCAGCCTGGCTGCCCTCCACGGCCGGTGCTCCTCTCAGGGCTGGCCCCCAAGGTGGAAAGCTTTGGCCCTCAGAATTCCTGTGGAATATGTACTGTCGTGGCGTCTTAGGATGCTCTCAGAAGTGTTCACCGTCTGGCCCCTGGTCTTTTTCCCCACCTCACTTCCCTCGTCCACCACAATACCTCTCCTTACCCCCATACACACCCACACACACACACTCTTCCCCTTACATTTTCACTTTTCCCTAGATATGCCCGTTTGTTTCTTTAAACCAGGAAGCTCCTTTCTCATTCTTCAGGCCCCTCACTCAATTGTTGCTCCTGAGAAGCCTTCTCTAACCCCCTTGATTGCAGTGTTGCTCTCACTGAATCCGACGGCTTATGTGTTTATGCTCCTGGCTCTCCTCTAGACTGAGGCAGAGGCTGGATCTTTATCTTCCACAGAGAATAGCTTCTCAGGAAATGTGTGGAAGAAAGACAGAACCGACTCACAGACTATGGATGGCAAACTACAGCAAATCTGTGGACCACATCTGGCCCATTGTTTGTTTTTCTAACAGCAATTTTACTGAAACACAGCCACATTTTTTGGTGTCTGGATTGTATAAATCACCCATTTGTATGTATGTATAAAGTTTTATTGAAACATAGACAAGCTTATATGTATTGTCTTATGGTTGCTTTAGATCTGCTAGGATGGACTTGAACAGTTGTGAAAGAAATCATATAGTCCCCAGAGCCTAAAGTGTTTACTATTTGGCCTTTCACAAACAAACAAACAAAAAATCGTGCTGACTACTGATCTAAAATCCACCTGAGAGATCTCCTATTGTAGTGTGCCCAGTAGAAAGATGAGGCAAACCATATAGGTAATTTTAAATTTCCTAGTAACTACATTTTAAAAAGGAAAAGAAACAGCCAAAAATAATTTTAGTAATACATCTCATTTAGTCCCAAATATTAAAAGTATTATTATTTCAACACATAATTAATATAAAAGTGATATAATGAGATATCTTACATTTTTATGGTACTCTTTGAAGTTATATATTTTATACTTACAGATTCATTTTAATTTGAACTTGTGCTCAGTAACCACACCTGTAGCTAATGACTATCTTATTGGACAATTCTAGGCCAAAGCCATCAGTTTATAGTTGAAGAAATTGGTCCAGAGAAGTTACTAGTTTAAAGTCACATAGTGGAAGAGTCAGTTAACCCCAGCTCTCCTTATTCCTAGGCAGGTGGTCCTTCCGCACCATACTGCTTTCAGTCTTGTTGTTTGTTTACTAGAAGAGCTATGATAAGATGATCTGGTTTCTAATTTGGTACACGCTTTAATAAGTTGTGTGACTTTGGGATAGTTCTTAACTTCCCAGGGTTTTCATTTCCTCATCTCTAAAAGCCTTGGACTGAGTGATCTTAAAGATCTAATTTTACCTGATCATCAAACATGTTGGTTTGAAAATCAGAATACACTGCAGTTATTTTGCCCAAGAATTCTGTTTCCAAGAAGCTGTACGCAGATATGAACTCAAGACTATGTAGGTTGTCACCGTAACTTAAAGTCTTTAGAGGCCAGGATTTTAGATAATTCATCCATTCAAATTTACCTGTCAGTAATCAGAAACAAGCCTAAAGCCTGATACACTTGGCACAGAGTGCCTCACAGCATCAATGTTATGTTCTCAAGAAATTCTGGAGATGAGCCAAGAAGGCTGCTGCTGAGCAGTGAAAAAGCAAAGAAGGGACTGGTGTTAGGGCCCATCTGGGGCGGCATAAAGATTTCCTTTTTCTGCTAACCAGCACCAGAGTCTGTCACCAACGACAGGAGGGCAGGGCAGTGAGGAATCTGGTATAAAACGTATGGGAAATTAGAGACCTGTGACCATGATTAGAAAATCAAATATTATTTTGCAATACCTAATTTCATAACAGAATCAACAGTATTAAATTTGCACTCCAAATCAGAAAAGAAACAAAACGATGTAGGAGAAAGTTTTAGAAATGAAAGCGGACAGGAACCAAAGAGAAATATGTCTTTTTTATATGTTTGCTTAAAACCAGTGATGTTTGCTTTTAACTTATTCACATCTTGTCCTTCCCTCACAACAGAAAACTCTTTCTTTCCTTCCAGACATTGGAGAAGACTGTACTAGAGGGCAAAAGGTATGTGTGTCCTTTGGGGTTAGACAGACCGTGGTATGAGCCCCAGATCCACCTTTCAAAAACGGTGGGACCAAAAAAAATAAAAATGATGGGACCTTAAAAGTTATATGGCCTTGGCGCAAGTTTGTGCCTTAATTCCCTGCTCTGTAAAATAGGTATAATGGTAGTGCTTACTGTGTGGGACTGAGATTAAATGAGGCAATGTGGGAAAAGGGTTAAGCACAAAGAGTGTCGTATATTAAGTGCTCAGTTGCTCTTAGCTCCCACTCTCACTCTGACAGTAGGGCTCAAGAAACAGAAAGGAGCTCCCAGTGAGCTGTGCCATACCTGCAAGTGTCTGCTGGCACCTCCTGGCTACTCCACCACCCTTGTCTCTCTCTCTCTCTCTCTCACACACACACACGTATATAGGCTGTGCTGGGTATCCGTTGCTACGCGCGGGCTTCCTATAGCTGCAGTGAGAAGGGGCTACTCTCCCTCTTGCTATGGGGTGAGGACCCTAGAGCATGCGGGCTCCGTAGCTGCAGGACACCGGCTTCTCCAGTTGCCTCAAGCCGGCTTAGTTGCCTGTGGCTTGCGGGATCTTAGATCCCCAAGCAGGGATGTAACTTCGTCCCCTGCGTCGGAAGGCAGATTCTTAACTACTGGACCACCGGGAAGTCCCTTGGTGGTCCATATTAAATTGTGTGCAGAGAAAGTGATGCAGCACAGTAGTGCCACGGAGCCCCGTGTTACTAATGTGTCAAGGTCAGTGACTGGGCAGCAGGACCCAGTGCCCGGAAACCTCACTGGGCGTTTTGCTTTTGTTACCTGCTAGGTAAGTCTGTCAGAATTCTAATGCTGAGCTTTGCTTTTTTATGGCAGTGTTTCATTTTGATATGCTTTATTAGCTGACTTTAGAATGGTTTGGTTAGTCTTCCTTCTCTCTGGGGGGAGGGAAAAAAAAATATATATATATATATGGTGTGTGTGTGTGTGTGTGAGAGTTTAAGTGGCTTCAGGCTTACTTCCCATATTGGGAAACTTGCCCTTCAGTTGCCCAAGAGAGTTTATAAAACAGTCCTGGCTGCATTTGTGCAGCCAGCAGAGAAGACTTGGATTCCCTTCCCAGTGACTCATTGATCATGTTTTCTGCTGAATGGATTCAACTTAACAAATCTGGAATCATTGGTCAGAGACCAAGGTGAAAGCCTTGGATGTTCTTTCCTGGGACTTTTATCAAGGAAAATTCAACCCCTTAGATAGAATAGCAGGTTGGTTTTGAACCAATCATCAGCTACAGTAATTACCATCCCTGTTTTAGCAAACTGAAGGGCCGTGCGGTTAAGCAACTTGCCACACACACACGTTACTCACACAGCAAGTAAAAGGCAGAGCCTGGGATCAGCCCTTGGCATTCTCACACCAGAGTCTGTGCCTTTATTTCCCTCTTCCACCTGTCTACAAGTTAGAGGTGCCTTTTTTATTTTGACCAACTTTTTCGATAGAACTTTCAAATATGCAGATTTGAAAGTCTCTTTTGTTGAATCAAAATGACTTACAATAATCGATTTTAATGCTAAGGTGATTTGTACTCTTTAAAATTTTTTTAAAATTTATTATTAGTTTCTTCAAAAGTTATTATATAATTATAATATGTTTTATTTTGTGACTAAACAATGAGAGATGGTAGGAGGAACACTTTTCCTCCCCTTATCTTCATGTTGTACTCCTAGTCATCCCTAAAAACCCAGGAGTTCACTACTTCCTCTGCTACTCCTACAACAATACATATATTTATAACTGCACTCATCACTCTGCATTGTGATTATTTGAGTATCTCATTTATGACCCTGCTCAGCAGGACAGGATCTTTATTTTTCTTCATGTGTGAACTTGTGTAATTAAGTCAACAAAGAACAAATGTTCATTGAACTGTATTTGAGGAAAACATTTAAATAATTTCTTTTATGTGAAATGCCTTTTTTTGCAGATCAGGAAAATTTAATATGAGAGAAATTTCTGGAGTTACATGAACACTAATTTTCTTATAAAATTTCTCTTATTTGAAATACTGGGTGTAAGAAAATATAGAGTAACTTACCTGCGTTTATTCTAAAGAACTGTAGTTTTTGGATCATGATGTATTTGTAACCCATTCTTCTAACACTAATAACCATGTGGCTGTTCATGTTTATTTACTCTTCACTCTAAAATCTTTTTGACTCAAAGCTTTTAAGAGTTACATGAAATCAACTCGAAATCAACAAATGTATCCTTGCTTTTTTATTTTGTTTTCTACACACTGTCATTCCTCATTGTAAATCTATAAAGTGAATGTCACTGTACACAGTGTAAAGTGTTTTGCATACATACACCAGAACCTAGGAGTACCGTGTTGTAGCTCAATTTTACATGTAGAAGCAAATCCATTTATGCAACATAATGTAAACAGTTCACTGTTTTTTGCAAGAATAAAAGCAAAGCAATTATGTTGAATAGTCTTTCATTAAAATAAGTTGAAAACCAGTATAGCTCTACCATATTATGTTGTAACTCACCTAGCAGTCGATTTCTTCAGCTTTTCAAATCCACCAATTTATGTAATTTTAGCTGTTAAAAATGTTACTTATTTAGCTTGAATTAAAGCAAAACTTACGCTTATGCTATCTATTGACTAGTTTCTTAAGTAAACTGTATTTTAAAGTTTGA